CAAGTAGGTAAGAGGAGACCTGCGACGTCCTGTGTCTGGTACTTGCGTTAATGAACACGGCGAGGAAACTTTGGACAAATGCAGTGGGAGCGAGGGCGCTCTCGGTTACGTGCGAAAATAGGGCACGTCTTCACGACCGCGTGATTGTCTTGCCAAAGCCTTCTAACTCACTAAGTTGCTTAGTTACATGCTTCCTTATCGTCTGTCACTGACGAAAAGGGAGACGCTCCGGGTCTGACCCCAAAGTTGGGGCGAGGCGTCCCGGCGCCAAATCTTGACTCAAGGGGCACGAAACAGCCCCGATCGGTCGCCTTCCCCCCTCCCCCCGGGTTGGGGTTACCATCACATCAAGAAGTGCAGGGGCAAAGCGAAGAGTCGAACCAGACATGAAATCGCGTGCATAACGAAGTTCGTCTGCGGGCAAAAGCGAGTTCGCTTGCATGTTGAATTTTCTTGATACCTACGCGTTCATAAGCGCACGCCTCTTCGTTACGTTACTTAAACAGTTTACTTAGCGAGATGTCAGTATCGTCTCCCGTTTTGTTCTACAGGAAGTAGGACTTGCGTATTTTACGCTGCGTCCATCATCAGGGCAATGAGTGACGAGTCATCGCCCTGACTATAGAAACAGTATCTATCTATCTATCGGCAGATCGATCAGTATCTACCTAGCTGAAGAGCGCAATATGTCAGAAGACAGAGATCGTCAGCATAAGAAGTGGCCTACAGAAAGAGCGAATGTCCCTGTGAGAAACTCAGTCACTCATTTAATCCACTTTCCGCACTAACAAACACTTGTAATCTTCGGAACAGCCAGTCCTTTTCCTCGAGAGCCGGCGAAGTTTTCCGTCAGGGATGTCGCCATGAGAACAAGAGTCTGACAGCGTCGTCAGCGAGTCTCAGTTCCGATTAACGGCTTACGAACACGAATTTCTGCAGTCTATGTCGTGTCACACAACTTGCGCACTGCCCAACAAACGCCACTGCTGAAAGCTACATCGAGAAAAGTAATTTAACCGAGATATATGGGAAAACAGACTGCACTAGTTCCTAGAATTTTTCTTTATTCTCCTGTGAGATTCTGAAGGAAAACCTCGCTTTCTCACGTCGACCTTAAACGATTCTGTACCACATAACGCAATTCCTTTCGTTGCTTGTCAACTACTCGAATGCACGAGGCGAACACTACGCGGGGCCACGGCCGCGGTGGTACCCAAGTTAATACGAAAGATGTGCGACTCCATTC